CCCACCTGGAGACTGGCATCCCTACTCCAATGTAGAAAGATGCTTGTCTTGGAACCTCCCAAAATATTGTGATTTTATAACTGGCTATAACCCCCACCCCTAAGATGACTAAACTGAAGCTGTAATATTTTAGTTGCATCATGTGAAGACAAGACTTACTGGAAAAGGCAATCATGCTAGGAAAAGTTAATGGAAGTCATCGATTTATTAGGTCAGGTCACCATAAGTTGGAAGCAACTTGATGGCATTCAGCACACACACATAACTCCCCCCCCGACACCATTTTGTGGTGATCCCCAGTGACTGTTTTCAATAAAGTTATGAGCACCTGAGGCTTATTTGATGCATGGTGAGTGCTTCCCCCCCCACACTCCCTTTCACTAAGTATAGTGGTGGGGACAGTTCCGTATGCAAATCCCTTTCATGTGCTATAGTCCGTCCTTTGAAATAAATAGAGCAGGAGCTTCATGGAAATGCATACAGGGCTTTGCATTGGAACCCATTTTCACTTGAAATCCTAAAACAGTTATAGACAGATATAATGGAAGCCCTGAAACATCACCATCAGGTAAGCATCAGGTAAGCATGAGCAGCAATACACCTCACCATAGGCAAGCCCTTAACACTTTATTATCATTAATGAAGAATTTTGAGGTTTGTTATAAGTGACATTTTATTTTTATTTGATTTATATCTGTATATATTTTATTTTTTTAAATCAAGATAATAAAAAGGAAATACAGAAAAGAAAAATGATTACATGTCATAACATTATATATATATTCATATTCAAAAGGTGATTATATATAACAAAATTATAAGAAATAGGAAATATTTCTCCCCAACATCCCCTTCATGACACTGAAAAGTTTTTGGGACACTGCCTATAAAATACAATAAAACTGACTTTTGTTGGGATACATTTATTTTCAACATTTTACATTTCAGATTTCATAACTAATCTGTTTTTCAGATGAGTTGTTAATTTCACCATTGCTCCATACTCAGTACTGCATATTTTCGTCCACTCTGCATACTCACTATTACTTTTGGCAAATAAGTAATATAACAAAAATACAGAAGGGAACTCTAAGTAACATTCTAATATGAAGCATTTACCTGCAATTTGCTTGCATTATAAGGCAATTCCATTAGGGAAATGCATTTGCTTTTGCAAATCATTAAGGGAACATAGCTTTTGCAAATAGAAAAAAGAAAACAACTCATTGCTTTGGCAAGTAGGAAGACAAGCTTGCCTGACCATATTAGGCATTGCTAGGCCCGTTTCTAAGGCTGCGCTGAACTCTGCTTGTTATTCTGTCATGAAGAAAGTTAACACCTGGCTGATAACAGGAAAATATCGCCCTTCCCACAAGGGACATGTGATGAGCCAAGGATGTTCGTGGTTTTGCAAAAGAACACAATGCTTCAGGCTTCATGGTCAATGTCTGTGATAATCTTGCATGCCAATTCTAAGAAATGATTTTTTTTTCTGTACTCTGTTGGAAAACTATTTAATTCGGCTCAAACCTGCATTCGGGGTACACGCCCTGTTTTGAAAGTGCCCTGAGAGGTGCTTTTGGCTGTACTGTGTGCTTAATAAACAACTGTTGATTCTCCTTGCTGACTCCCTGGTGGTCTGTCTCTCAGAATTCCTGCTACATTTCTGGTGCATTGGCCGGGGAGAAAGGGAAAGTCTGAGCCAAGGGCTTTGCCCTTGGGAAGACCGGGCTCTTGTGGCCCCCCTGAGCCATGACTGCAGCGTACAGTCATACGGAGAGTGACGAACTTTTGGCAGGGCCCATTTCCAATTTTGGAAAGCCGATTGTTCCTCAACTCCTGCCAGCTCTTCCCTGCTGTCGCTCGCTCAAAGTGGACCTGGGCAGAAGGAGACTCAAGCCAGGGATTCCGGAATCTTCAGGACAGGTCAGTATAATCTGGGTTTATCAGTCCTCCCCCTGTGTGGGAGAAGAAGGAACCTGATCACTCCCTTATCTGGTTCAGGTTTTTCAGTCAGGCAGGAAAAAGAAGCAGAGGCTTCTTTGTGATCTGGGTTGGGAACTGTTATAGTGTGAATGGTGTGTGTGAATGTGCGGTCGGACTCCCGTGGCACAGAGAGAGAAGCCAATAGTGGGAGAAAGCCAACTTGAAAGTGGACCTTTGAAGTGCGTTTTCGGACAGGGAGACTTTGATCCGGCCACTGATGAGGGAAGCAGTTGTGGAAAGGGACCCCCTTTTGTCTCAGGAGTCGCCAGACCCCTTACTGGTCTCCTTGTTCCCCAACCTTTTGTCTGTCTATTTGTCTATTGTGTTTTTGTCATGGGTGGGAGTCAGGGAAAGTCCACAACTCCCCTGAAGTTTATGCTCAAGAATTTCTCAGATATTTTGGGTGGAGACTATGGTGGAGATGAGCCCCTGAGTCCTAACTTCTTGGAGACTCTGTGCACCATAGACTGGCCTGAGTTTGGGGCCTGCTGGCCCCCAGAAGGCTCAATGGATTCAGAACTACTGAGGAGGGTCTTTGCTGCTGTTACAGACCCAAATGGTGACCATCCAGATCAATTCCCTTATATTGATTCCTGGTATTACTATGCCAGGCACCATCCCTCTCTGGTGCGGACGTTTCAGTCTGCTCGCCTGCTGAGACCCACAAGGATTTGTGCTGTGAAATCTAAAGCCCAATCAAAGCCTACAGCTCCCCAATTGATTCCACCAGAAGAAGAAGACCTCGTGCCTTTCAGGCCCCCACCCAACTCAGCACGCCGCCATCCATCCTGGGTCTATATGCCCCCAAGCCCTGTAGTAACCAGGTCAAAAACTAAAGCTGCAGAATTAAAGGAGAGGGAGAAAAGAAATAAAGAGTCAGCTTTGGACTGTAGCCCAGTCTCTTCAGGAGAGAAACAGATGGGGGATGGAGGCCAGAACAGCAACCCAACATCATCAATCTACCCTTCCCTTTATGATGTTCCGAATTCAGCTCCGTCTGCTGGACCAGCAACCCCGATACCACCCCTCCATCTCCAGAAAGATCCTGAACCTGAAGTGTGGAATCCTGTAAGACAACAATGGAGCTCTATTCAAAATTCTGCTAGTCCCAGCCTCCCACTCATCCCTGAGACAGCCAGATTACTCGAGACTGGAGTCCAGACCCCACCAACTCTAGATTGCCTGGCCAGGAAATCCCTCCCTTCTCCACTGACGACAGAGTTGCAAGAGATGTCCACGGGAATGTCTGGACCTTCTAATGCTCCAATTTCTCTTCCTCATTTAATGATGCCCAATTAACCAGCGGACCGTTAACTTGTACACCCCCGCTGAAGACAAATGTTATCTGTCCCCTACGTGAGACCCCAACTGGAAATGGAAATAACATGGTCTATGTCTATCACACTTTTACCACTGTGGACTTGTGCAACTGGAAGTCCCAGACCACCCCTTATTCAGAGGACCCAAGGCCAATGACTGAACTCATAACCACCATCATGACTACCCACCTGCCCACTTGGTAGGATTGTCACCAGCTCCTGTCGGCCCTCCTAACCGCCGAGGAGAAGCGCTGCATCCTAGAAGCGGCCCGTAAAGCTGCAGAGAATGCCCTCCCCAATGGTGGTGTTCTGGCCACTCATCTCCGGAATGTTTACCCCGAGACAGAGCCCAACTGGCTTCCTAATGATCCCGCAGACTGTGCCCGACTACAGACCTATCGGGGTTATTTGCTCCAAGGGCTCAGAGAGGCAGGGAGAAAACCCATGAACATGGCAAAACTGAGAAATGTTGTCCAAGAACCCAATGAGCCCCCATATACTTTCCTTGAAAGACTGTATAGAGCCTATCGTCTTTATACCCCATTCAACCCTGAGGCAGAAGGCAACCGCACCATGGTGAATGCCTCCTTCGTTAGTCAGGCTGCCCCTGACATTAGAAGGAAGTTGCAAAAACATGAAGGCTTCGAAGGAATGAATATGTCCCAGCTCCTTGAGATTGCGCAGAAAGTTTTTATTAACTGAGAGAAGGAAGAACGGAAAGAGGAAGAGGCCAAGATGAAGAAGAGAGCAACGCTCCTCGCTGCTGTCCTCCGTGGATCAAATGACCCTTACCCCAGATGGCCGAATCCCTCCGATGGGCCAGGATTTCAATTTAAACCCGCCCCCGGGGTTAGACAATTCCCAAAAGGATTAGGGTGAGACACCTGTGCATACTGTAAACAGGACGGGCACTGGAAGTCCGAATGTCTGAGTAAGATGGCTGCCGGGTCAAGGGGTCCGGGAGGTGGACGGCCACGGGGCCGCAGAGGAATTGGAAGAGGGCCCCCTCAAGCCCGGGGAACAAGCAGCTCCAGACGAGGCCAGGGATTCATGTCAGGAACGATCCAGAGAGGCCAATACTACCCTGGAGGTCAAGTTTTCCCCGAACACGAAGAGGATTGGGGTTTCGTCGGAATGGCTGGACTGCATGCTGAAGAAGATGATTAGGTCAGACCGGGTTCCCTGTCCTCTGGCTCCCAGGAACCTATGGTCTATTTGCAAGTCGATGGCCAACCTGTGCCCTTTATGATCGACACTGGAGCTGAACTATCCCTTGTTACTCATCCAGTAGCCTCTGTAACCTCTCAAACAAAGACTGTCGTAGGGATGACAGGCAAGGAGGTTAAATTTCCACTTTTACATTCCCGGGAGTGTGTCCTAGGGGGCCACCGAGTCCAACATAAATTTCTCTTGAATCCTGACTGCCCCATTAACCTTCTGGGCCGGGATCTCCTCAGCAAATTGAGAGCCACCTTTACATTTTATACCCCTGATGGCAGTCTGGAGATGGCCCTCCCCAACCCCAAGGTTCTGTGTACCCTTGAAGTTGATGCCTCAGAAGAATGGAGGCTGTGTGGCAAGCCGTTCTGCCTGGCGTCTTTTACTTCTCAGAATCCTCCCATCAGAGTACTCCTGGAAGAATCTGCCGAAGAAGCCCTAGATGTACCTGATGAATCTGAGCATTTTTTTTAATCCATGGACTGTGAGAGATATGCAGGTCTCAAAACTAGTGACAAAGAGTATTTCCACCTAAAACATTGGTCAGTTTGGGCTGAGTACAACCCGCCAGGCTATGCCAAGCACCACCCTCCTGTTATTGTCGACCTGAAGCCCAATGCAGTTCCCGTCCGAGTCCACCGATATCCCATCCGTGAAGATGCCCGACGGGTCCTGACAAAACATTTTTCTCATCTACTGAAGGCTGGGATCCTTATCCCCTGTGAGTCCAGCTGGAATACTCCGATCCTGCCTGTTCCAAAACCAACCAATGACCCTGCAAAGCCTGAGTTTCGTCCAGTCCAGGATCTTAGAGCTGTGAACTCTAGGGTAATGACCCTTCACCCTGTGGTCCCAAACCCATATACAATCTTGACTCTCATCCCTCCAGAGGCCCTATATTTCAGTGTCTTGGATTTGAAAGATGTGTTCTTTTCCATTACTCTGCCCCCCCAGTCACGCCCCATCTTTGCCTTTGAATGGAGAGGACCCTCTGAAGCGTGTGCCAAACAATACACCTGGACACGGCTTCCCCAAGGTTTCAAAAATTCCCCCTCACTTTTTGGCCAAGCTCTAGCTAAAGATTTGGAAGATTTTGACACCCGAGGGGGCTTGGTTTTACTGCGGTACGTGGGCAACCTTTTGCTTTGTGCCCCCAACTTGCCCCACTGTGCAACGGGCACTAATGACTTGCTGGCCCTCCTTGGACTCCGGGGCTACAAAGTTTCCTATAAAAAGGCCCAAGTTTGCTAGACCAGTGTCCGCTTCCTTGGATTCCAAATATCAAATGGCGTTCGTTCTTTGGGCCCAGAACGCAAAGAGGCTGTCTGTCAGATCCCTGTACCGACTTCCTGGAAGGAGCTGAAAGCTTTCCTCGGCTCAGCAAGCTACTGCCATCTCTGGGTCCCTGGATTTGCCCTTCTTGCCAAACCTATGAGGCTACCCGTTGTGCTTAAAAAGGACCCCTTTATTTGGAACCACGAACAAGAACTGGCTTTCAGGATCCTCAAACAACGACTTGTTGAAGCCCCTGCCATGGGCTTGCTTAACCCTGAAAAGCCCTTCTTTTTGTGTGTCAGTGAAAAAGAGGGAGTGAGCCAAGGTGTCCTCTTACAAAACTTGGGCCCCCACAACCTGTTGCTTACCTGAGTCAAGCCCTAGACACTGTTGAGATGGGCCTTCCACCCTGTCTGAAGGCAGTGGCTGCCTGCTGTCGACTCATAGAAATGGCCCACAAATTCACTTGGGGTGCTCCTATGATGGTCTTTGTTCCCCATGGAGTGAAAGCCATCCTTGAAGCCCGGGGACACAAGTTTTTAACCACGTCTAGGATGGCCCACTATCAGGCTACTCTTCTAGAAAACCCAGGAGTCCAATTAGCCCCGGCTACTACTCTCAATCCAGCTACCTTCCTCCCGGGGATTGAGGAAAATGTGGACCATGACTGCATAGTTACTACTGACCACACTTTTCCTCCCGGCTGGATATCCAGGACCAGCCTCTTTTTGAAGCTGACCTTACGTTCTTTTGTGATGGCAGTAGCTTCCTCGACCATCTCGGTCACCATCGTGCTGGCTACTCGGTGGACAGCCATGGACTTGTTCATGAAGCCCACCCCTTACCACCTGGAACTTCTGCTCAACTCGCAGATATCCACGCCCTCACCAGAGCCTTAGAGTTGGCTCGAGGAAAGACTGTAAACATCTATACTGACTCAATGTTTGCCTTTAAATCAGCTCATGCCCATGGCATCCTCTGGCAAAACCGGGGCCTCATCAATTCCGCAGGCAAAGATCTGAAATATGGAACCCAGCTGCAACACCTTATGGAGGCTGTCCAGCTACCCAAAGCTGTCGCCATCATTCATTGCCGAGGCCACCAGAAGAAAACCGATCCTGTCGCCCGAGGCAATGCAAAAGCAGATCTATGGGCAAAGAAAGCGGCCCTCGAAGATTCCCCAAAGCCCCCGAATGCCCTGGTGCAAGTCCCAGGCCCTGGGCAACCTCTCAGGCCAGAAGAAAGTCAAGCCCTGGACCAAGTGTGGGCTTATGTGCATTCCTGTCCAGTGTTCTGCAGCCCCGTGAATACCTGGACCCCCCGCTATAGCGAAGAAGAAATAGATTGGATCAAACTACAGGGGGGAGAGCTGAGTCCCACTGGCTGGTGGCATATTCCAGGAGGCAGTTTGGATTCCAGCTAACTTAGGCCGTGAGGTTATGACCACTCTACACGACAACACCCACTTCGGAGAGACTGCAATGGTAAAAGCCATAACCCGCTGGGCACACCTGGACCGAGCCCATGCCCTAGCAAAGGAAGTGAGCTCCAAGTATACTACTCGTGCTCAGAATAATCCCCGCGAAGGTCCTCGCAGGCCTCCAGGAATCCAGACTGTTAGCCCTGCACCAATGACTTGCCTAGTTGTGGACTTCACTGAAATGCCCCAGGTAGCCAGGAAGAAATACCTCCTGGTCTTTGTGTGTTCTTTCACTGGCTGGATTGAAGCTTTCCCCACTGCCACTGAAAAGGCTTCTGAAGTCGCTAAAGCTCTGCTCCACCACCTCTTACCTCGCTTCGGAATCCCAGCGGTCATCTCGTCAGATAATGGGCCTGGGTTCGTTTCTCAAGTAACTCAACAAGTGGCCAAGGCCCTCGGCATCAATTGGAAGCTGCACTGTGCCTATCATCCCGAACGTTCTGGGTTTAAATATGACATTAAACGACCTGAATCAGTAAAAGTTGTAGAATGCAGCATAAATCATAATTCAGAACGTGACTTAAAAGTGAAGTGTGACATTGTGTCAAGTGACCAACTTCCAGGCAGGATCTGGAGTTTCCCAGAACTGCAACTGATTCTGTCCTGAGGCCAGCCAGAAGCGGAGCCCCATGTGGTGAGTGATCAGCGCCAGTCTTCATTAGGTTCAAATCATTTTATTGGGTCCTAGCATTCAAGGCATTAGTAACTTATGACCCTGCTGCTGAAGTGAATGACACAGTCCATCTTTAATGATAAGAGTCCACTGGTATGAGTTTCATGAAAAAGAGTTGATTCTGTGCATCCCTGTTTCTGCTAGTGATTTTTAAACAAAGGATGGAAAAGGGCTAATAAAAGTTTTCCGGGCTTGCTAACTACCGGAAGGGAGCCTATAGCCAATGAGGAAGACTATCTCAGGACATCTGACCTAAGGGGTTAAAGAACTACAATTCCCATCATGCATTACCTTAAATGTAAAGGACTTATTTTCCTGTATTAATACAGACTGTTTACTATGCTTACTACACACCCTGCTGGGGCAGCACAGATTTCCTGGCTACGAAAATCAGTTCCCCCTGAGAAAAGAGCAGAGTCAGAGGATGGACTCTATGACATCACAACCTCCTGAGCTAACTCCCCAAGTTCTGCCCTCCCCAGGTTCCACCCTCAAAACTCCATGAATTTCTCAACCCAAAGTTGGCAACCCTAGATCATCGTGTTAGTGCAAATTCCCATTACAGGGCTGGAAGCTGGTTGCTTTACTAAACAGGACTACTTTTATTTTCTTCTTCTCCCCCCCCCTCTCTCCGTGGCAACCATAGACTTGAAAAGAAAATAAATCAACCTCATGGCTAATTCCTCCTTTCATAATTCTTCTCTTCTTGCATTTATGTGTGTCATGCTGTGAAATACTATGTGGTAGGTTGATTTATTGAACCCCTTCCACTCTTGTCATTTCAAACCAGTTTTGACAGCAAAGGTAAAATGGCTAATAAAAGAGTGGAGGAGAAGTTAGTTTAGATTTCAGCCTCAGAAATATATAACCTGTACGTGTACACTTCATCCTCTCCCATTTATGGGTTCCGTTATTCTTTTTTTTAATTGATCTTATTCATCTACAGATGTATACTCACACATATATCCAATGATATGGCCATGCAGGGAATAGTTTGATTCCAAGATCTGCAAAAATCTAAAAGAATCTCATAGTCTCCCCAAACTAAAGATGCTTCAAAGATCCAGAACAGACTTTATGAAGATCACAGGTCTGTCTGTCAAAGGAAAATTGCATATGCCTTCACCCCTGATTTGAATCAGGTCCTCAAGGGAAAGGATTTAACCTTTCAAAACTTGTTTAGTTTTGCTGATCAGAAGCAGGCTCTACACTGCTATTAGCCTTTTAAATCGGGGGAAAGATGAATCCTTTATTAAATAATCTTTTCCCCCTTTTGGAACACTTATGTAAGTCGGGCCCTGACTTGGATAGCCTAGGCTAGCCTTGACTGTCCCCTGCAAGAAGACATGACCTTGTATATGGAGTTCTTTTCAGAAGATTTGAATAAGGAAAGGGGGGAACCTTTTCCAGTGTACAGACAGCCCCCCAATCTCAAACTACTCATCACCTTCAATAATAGAGTATCTAATTTAAACATGTAGACTGGTACCATAGCTTGCAACACACCCTGATGCCAACTTTGCTGCCGCATACACCCAGACAACACAATCACTGGACCTAACAACATTAACTATGCCATCTCAGGCTTATTCACCTGCTCATCTTCTAACAGTGTATTTGTCATCAAACGTCAACAATGCCCTTCAGTTCTCTATATAAGAGAAACAGGTCAAACCCTACACCAAAGGATAAATGGACACAAATCTGACACCAAGAATCACAAAACAGAGAAACCTGTATGAGAACATTTCAACCTCCCAGGGCACTCCACGGGGGACCTCAGAGTAGCTGTTTCACGTCAAAGGAATTTCAGAAACAGACTGGAATGGGAGATTGCAGAATTGCAAGTTATTGCAGCACTCAGGACAATAGAACCCCCAGGGTTTGACAGAGATATCGGCTGCTTATCACACCACACAAACCAATTCATTCTGTTCTTACTTATACCCAGAAATTACAGATTTTTTTGGTCTTATAGAGGCTACTGGACTCAAACTTTGTTCTCACATCTGTTTGAATAATAGAATCATGGAGTTGGAAGGGATCTTTAGGGTCATCGAGTCCAACCCCCTGCACAATGCCAGAAATTCACCAACACCTCCCTCACACATACACACGCCCAGTGACTGCGATTACATGCCCAGAAGATGATAAAAAAACACCAAGATCCCTAGCCAAACTGGCCTGGAGAAAAATTTCTTCCTTACCCCAAAGTGGCGATCAGCATTTCCCTGGATGTGTAAGAAAGGGTCTTTATCTGTATGCCAACATGCTGCTATTTATATGTCCTACTGCATGTGTTATTCCAATCTTAGCTACATTTTTGGCTCGGTTACTTATGCATATTGACTCTATTCAGCTCTTCCTGGCAATTAAACACACCCCCTTCACCCCCCCCCCCCCACTTGCATGTAATATTTGAGGCAATCTGTTTCAATGTATGTAAAGAAGTGTGCATACAATGAGTCTCTGTTCTCACATGTACACAGGATTGAGCCTGGTTTGTCTTGGGGTGCCGCTGGACTCTAGCCTCATTCTCACATCTCCTTGTTAATTCTTGCATTTATGTGCTAATTTGCTGCCATCCACTGATCTTGGCCAAATGGTCCAAATTCAGCTCTGCATATACAGTTTGGTTCTTAGTGGCCCCTCCTGATGGCTGCCACCACCAACTTTTTTCCTATAAGTAGCCCTTGAGATTTTGTTCCAATTTCTCTGAAGAACTGTGCTTTGCACATGAAAGCTTATACTTTGAATAAAACTTGGATGGTCTTAAAGGTGCCACTGGACTCACTCTGTTAGGGTTAGGGTTATTAGGGTTAG